CTGTAGTAACTGGTGACTACCCACCAGTTATGTGAAAACTAGTTGGAGACCGTCTTCCCAAATTTACACAAGAACAAGCTAAGTTGGTGAAAGGGACTTACGATTTTCTGGGCATAAACTATTACACAAGTATTTATGCTAGCAATTCACCTAGAAAACCTGGTACAGCACGAAGTTACTCAAATGATCAGGGTATCGCATTATCAAGTAAGTAGATGGACCTCGTTCTATAAATTAACCTTACCACATAGCCCTCATTCTCTCAATCCTTTGTAGGTGAGCGTGATGGGATACCTATTGGTCCAAAGGTATGCCTTTTAACTTTGTCTTTTCTTAGAATGAACACCGATAATATATTATTATCTGTGTTCATTCTTACAACAGCTATGCAATTTCAACAATTTTTTGTTTTGGGCTATAGCGTCATACTTACAATAATGGATTGAAGTACCATGCCTTTATTCTAAATCTTAAAGAACATTATCATTTCTTGTTGATACTAGGGTGGCTCAAATTGGTTGTCTATCGTTCCAAATGGGATTTACAAGCTGTTGGTTCATGTAAAGAAAAGTTATAATAGTCCTACCATTTACATCACAGAGAACGGTAAATTCATAGCATGTTTATTAGCATTTTTCTTTAGTAAGATAATAAATGTTTTGTAATATTTAACCTTTGTAATGCGTTTTATTGGATGGCTAAATTTTTGTAGGGGTGGATGAAGTGAATGATACGTCCCTAACATTGTCAGAAGCTCGGTTCGATGAGCTGAGGATTAAATATCACCAAGACCATCTCTCTTATATTAAGCAAGCAATGGAGTAAGTCATCTTCTAATAACTATGTATCAGATCTCGAAGCAAATAGTGTTATTATGAAATTATTTAGCTATTTTGTTAAAAAAATAAATTAATTTTTCGTGATTTTTTCTTTCATTTACAGAGAAGGAGTGGATGTGAAGGCTTACTATATATGGTCAATGTTCGATACTTTCGAATGGGCAGCAGGATACAGTGTTAGATTTGGCCTTTTTTACGTAGATTTCGTTAATGGCAATTTGACAAGATTCCCCAAAACCTCTGCTATATGGCTAATGAATTTCTTGAACAAGAAGAGATTCACGTTGAAGAGACAAGCTCCAAAAAATGAAGAGGAGCATGGCTCCGTGAAAAAGGATAAGAAGCAGTGAATGGAACCATAAAATTAGTCTGGTCATGTTTCATTAGAGTTGTTATGTTGAATGCTACGCGCATGTGCTCTCCTTTATTTTTATTAATTTTTTTTCTGCCTTTCTAGTTGCAACTATGTACCTTTTATCCCTATTCTCTTAAAAGAGAGAGTTTGAGGTTGACTGTTCATTCATGATTTTCCCTCACAGATTACTGTTGCATGTGCACACAAAAATTCCAATTAGCCTTCCAGCATGATTTATTGACTTTGGAGTACTTCAATTTTCCATACTCTCTTTTTATAGTCGATTGAAGAAAGAATTGATTTTTTTTTTGTCGTTTCGCATTTTTAAAATCCGTTTGTATTGGTTATTCCATTATGCC